AGGGCGTGTTCTACATGTGTATGTATGACGGCAAAGAGCCAGCAGGACAGACGGACTGTTAGACCTGCTTACACCGCCCCCCTCCCGCCCCCTCCAAGAGTTAGACGTGTCCTCTGCCTCGCTGCTTAAGCTGTGGCACTTCACAGTTGCACTTCACTTTTAAAGACCTGCACGCAAGTCCCAGGCTCGTTTCTTCCTCTGCCCGCTAGGCGCACCTTCTTGTTGAGGCGTTTAAAACCCAACACGGTGTGCCAGCCTGCTCCACTCCTCGACACGCACTAGCTAGTAGCTACTTGCTCGTAGCTAGGGAAGAGGCAGGTGGCTCCATCTCACAGTGGACTCCCTGCAAAGTCAGCGGCAAAGCGAAGTTCATTTCTGCTTGCTTACCTTGTGCCTGGGAAAGGGTGTTACACTGCTTTGCAGACTCCACTGGGATGGGGACAACAAAATAGTCAAGGAGACATTGACTCACAAGTACCTTCTTTAGCGTCCATATCATTGTTCAGTATTTTGATGTCTAACCTTGCTGTCTGCAAGCCTTGGGACATTTAAAGAGGTGTTTAAATACTTACCCATGAAAGGTCTAGTAGTTCCTGAGCAAACACTTAATTTCTCAGCATGTGATTAGAATAACGCAATTTCTGATTAAGCAGAGAGTAGCTGGATAGCTTTGACCTCTGCCACCATCCTTCCTCTTCAACATCACTTTAGAAATGGTGATTAGGGTTTACAGGGCAGCTCTGTATTGGTACATCTTGAAAATGATATAGTCCAGAATTAACTTTACCTGCATTAAGTATCATTTGTATCAAGCGCTGGAGATCCTTTGCCTAGGCTGAGGCTGCGGGTGTTCCAGGAATAAGGGCCCTATACACCTATTCCTATTTCCAAGTGAGTGGGGACAGAGTGAGGATCACTGACTCCTTTCATTCATTCATTTTTCAGCAGACACGGAGCTCCTGCCTCCCACTGGGCTCTGTCCTAAGTGCTGAGGGTTCAGAAATGAATGGTGCCTAGTCTCTGACCTCCAGGACCACTGGCTTATTGCAGGGAGGAAACACAGAAACACAGAATTATAATAAACTGTGGAAACACAGGGGAGGGGTATTTAAACCTTCCTGGGGTGATGATGGTCAGAGAGGGCCTCCTGGATAAACTGAATGTCTGAATTCAGTTTTAAAAACTGCCTAGATGATGAGTGAGATAGGGAAATATGAACAAATGTGACAGGCCACAGGAACAGGAAGGGACTGGGTTGTGAAGAACCTTGGAACTTGTAGCTGATCTGGACTCCAGGAATCCAAGTCCGACTGGTTTCTGCAGAGGGACCTTCCTATGCTCAGCTAAAATTGCTGGGATTCCCCCAGGGTTCCCAGAGTTTTTTGTTTTTTTTTGTTTTTTTTTGTTTTTTTTTTTTTTTGTGGGGGCTCCGATTTTCAATTCTGAGCGTTACAAAATTCTATTAGGCAAAATTTCTTAGACAACTCAATCTTGGATATGTGTTGAACTTTAAAAGTTCATTAACAAGGGAAGGAGATAGGAAATAATAATGCCAATTCAAAGTGACTTGGGATGGGCAAAGATTTACATACAGAACCTTCTAAGTAGTATAGTCTAAGCTGCAAAGAATGCTTTTCACATATTCATAGAAGTATCTTTTATCCCCCTATTTAATATGTGGAAAAATGGGAGTTCAACAATTGACAGGAAAAAAAAAACCCATTAATCAGAGATAACAATATTCCTGAGAAGCAAACAGTAAGTAAAATATTTGTGGCTGTTTATCAGGCATACCAGATAATACTAAACAACATATCAGGGACTATTAACCACACATACTAGACAGCAAGTTTCATTCCTTAACAGTGTCAGACATGAGTCAAGTCAGTTCAGAAAGTGACACTAGGAGATATCAAACAGAGATCAATTAAAACAGGCCTTTTCTCTTACGGTTATCACTAAATTTGCCAAGCACGTGAGGTTTTCATACAAAGTTCACCTTATTATTTCCATTTTTGGACAAAATTTTTCTTTCTAAAAATCCAGAAGGTGTGGATCGTTAGGAATCCTAGAGAGAGGCAGAATGCAAAGTCCAGGTGGGCCGAGGCTGTGTGTGTCTGTGGGTCTATGTGTGTGCACGTGTGTATGGGTGGGGATGTACATGCATGTGTGTATAGGGCACATCTATGTTTGTGTATATATGTGTATGTGTGTGCATGTGAGTGTGAGTGTTTTTGAGGTGAAAGTGAGATAGGGTTTTAGTTGGCAAAAGATGAACCATTCAAAAGCCGTGTCTTTAACGGTGTCAGCTCTTTCCTGCTGAGATGTATAAAGCTCTTACTGTTCCATCTCCTTAAATATACTCTGTGTATCTTCCACCCCTGTCCTGCGGAACCAGCCAAACCCTGTGTCTCAGAGTCAGGAGAGAAAGCAACATGATTTAGTGCAAAGAGCACCTGACTAGGTGTCAGGAGATCTGGGTTCTAGTCCCGGCTCTGCTGACAAATAGCTCTGTGCTTTTGGACAATTCACTTGGCATCTCTGTGCCTCCAGTTTTCTCATCTGTAAAAATAAGCCAATATATACCTTACTTAACTCACAGGGTTGTTGTAGGGTCAGGCCAAGAAAGATAAAGTATGTGAGAATGCTTTGGTAAAGTCTGGGATGTTATATAAATGCAAGATATAATCAAGATCATGATTGCACAGAGAGATTTTCCTTAGACTTAATATATGTAGTTCCTAAATAGTCCCTCAAAGCCCAGTTTTCAAAGTGTGATCCTTGGGCTAGTAGTTCATTACCTGGGAGCTTAATTGTAATTGCAGAATTTGAGCCCTGCCCAGACCTACTGAATCAGATTCTGCATTTTAGCAAGCTTCCCCGGGGTGACATACAAACATTAAGTACAGGTGGGCAGGAGGATAACTCAAACCACTGGTTTTTAAAATCTAAGTGTGCATAAGGATTACCTAGACCTAACTCCAGAGTTTCTGATTCAGAAAGTCTGGGTGGGGCTCAGGGATCTACATTTTATGTTTTATTTTTAAAGTTTATTTATTTTGAGACACACAGAAAGAGAGACAGAGAGAGAGACAGAGAGACAGAGAGAGAGGTGGGAGGGAGTAGAGAGAGAGGGAGAGAGAGAGATTTCCAAGCAGGGTCCGCAGTCAGTGTGCAGCCCTCTGTGGTGCTCGATCTCATGAACCATGAGATCATGACCTGAGCAGAAATCAAGAGTCTGATGCTTGACTGCTCAACCAACTGAGCCCCCCAGGTCCCCCAGGGACCTACATTGTAAATAGAAGCTCCAGTTGATTCTCTTGCTCCAGGACCACACTTTGAAAAATGCCACAGTAAGCCATCAAGATATTGCTCTCCATAGTTTAGTTATGACTCTTAGTAGAGTCCAGAGAATCTCTAGATCTGCTACTACAACCCCACGTTAAGTTCTCAAAGTCAAACCCATGTTTCCTGAAAAAAAAGAAAAAAATCCCCATGCTTCACTTCACTGTCAGCAAGCAGTCACCCATCCAGTTTATGAAAGTTTTGGGTAGTGTTTGCTTTGACTTCTTGGGTTCTCACGTTCAAAATTAAGCAGCTATTTTTGGTTACTTTTAAGTTTCAGTCACCCTCATAGTAAATATTTTGTTCATATGGAACATAAATATAAGTGCATTTTTTATTTAGCACATCTCACTTATTTATTTATTTATTTATTTATTTATAAATATTTATTTTTGAGAGAGAGAGAGAGAAAGAGAGACAGAGCATGAGCAGGGGAGGGGCAGCGGGTGAGGAAGACACAGAATCTGAAACAGGCTCCAGGCTCTGAGCTGTCAGCACAGAGCGCAACGCAGGGCCTGAACTCATGAACCACAAGATCATGACCTGAGCCGAAGTCAGACACTTAACAGACTGAGCCACGGAGGCACCCCTAGCACACCTCATGTTTAAAAAGAAACTAGAAAGTTCACAGGAGATAGAGCCTTCTTTTTTATTTATTTTTACTTCACATGCCAAATACCACGGACTAAGAATTATAAAAACCGTATTAAAGGTGTATTTGCAGGTTGGAAATGTGTGGCATGCACACAGACACTTGCACGTACATGCCCAGATATACATAGTTGCCATTTACTTCTAAACAGATCTGACCTCTCAAAGCCTCCTTCCCTCATTTATGTCTAGGAGAGTCAGGAACATGAGTTTAAAACTAACATTACAATCAAGAAACTGCCTTATTTTGTGGAAAGAGAAACATATGCAGAGATGTGGGGGGACCACTACTTGTTTTCCAGCAGAACAGTATTGGTGCCAGAATAAGAAGTTATTCTCCATAGTCTAGATACTTGCTAACTTCCTTTATGTCCTCATCTTTATTGTTATAGGATAATCCTACTCTAAGACTGTTTGCCTTGATACATACAAATTATTTCTGCACTCAGCAGAAAATTGTCCTCTGTTTAGCTTCTGATTTATTATTTTTTTAATGTTTATTTATTTACTTAGAGTGAGGGAGAGTAGGCATGCATGTGCAAGCAGGGAACGGGAAGCGGGAGAGGGAGAGAGAGAATCCCTGCAGGCTCCATGCTTAGTGAAGAGCCTGATGGGACTCAATCTCACGACTGTGAGATCATGACCTGAGCAGAAATCAAGAGTCAGACGCTTAACCAACTGAGGCACCCAGGCACCCCTCAACTTCTGATTTCTTAATTAGCCTAGGTTTGCTTTAGTTGGAATAGGGTGCTCACCATTAGTGCGTTGGGGTGGGAGAGGAGAGTGACAGAAGGTAAAAAAATTGTCCCAGTCAGGATGATATTAGCTTTGGAAAAGAGTAAATAAACACCCCTCTTTTGTGTTTTCAGGAGATGCATTTAGAAGATACCACCAGATTCTGTCCAAAGGAAGAAAGAGAGAGCGAACAGACCTCTTTCAGCGATCAAAACCCCAGGCAAGACCAGAAAGGGGGCTTTCGCAGCTCCTTCCGCAAGCTCTTTAAAAAGAAGTGAGTAGCCCTTAGACAAGACAGCATCATAACTCCTTTCCCTTTGGGCTAAATCTTGAGGTTTTAACAGTAATAAGTTTCAAGTAGCCTGGTTCAACTGCTTCAAGCTCAGTGCCTGCAGCCAGTAGCCATGATTCCTGCCAGGTCAGGATGTTTCTCATTGTCATCTCCTAGAGTAAAAGCAAACTCAGCCCTGTCCTCTGCCTCTTCTATCTTTTGGCTCTACTTCCTTGTTCCCAAGTCATGTGTCTGAGGAGAGTAAGCAGAGGAGGTCCCCTGGGTAATGAGCTGGTGACAATCAAATCCCTTTTAGACTGGGAGGCGTGGGGTTGGGTGTAATGGGAGGTTCCATGCGAATCTCCCCACCTGTGGAAAGTTTTCCAAGGGATCTCAGCACTTCTGCCTGTAGGAGTCTATAGTTATCCTGGATGCTAGTACATGTTTATTGGGACTTCTGCTAGTGTTTTCCCTAGCAGAAATGATAGAATGAATTTGGTTTGGGCCCTAGTTAAAAAATCACTTTAATGGAGCTTCCATAATCCATAGGAGGCAAAAACAAGACATTTCCCTTCTGTGGTCCTTCTAAGATTCTAAGTCCTTATTGTATGAAATCACCCACCAGGCATTTTGGCCAGCACTTACCAGCACTGTCTTACAGACTGGGAGAAGGTGGCCAAACCCCAGCATGAAATGTAAGGAAGAGAGATCTGAGCATTTAGAGTTTGACCTTAGAGGGATTGTCCAGTCCAGCCATTGTCTGCCTGAGAGACTACTGTCTCTATCTCCACTGGGCCTGAGGCCACCCCCCCCCCACCTCCTTTAGAGAGATTTCACCCTTACTTAGTTTCTCTTGGTAGAGGTGGTTCTTGCAGTCAGTTTTAAACATTTAGTGGATGGGAAAGTATATTGCTGCCTTTGGAGACTTGCTGATAAGTGAGGAAGTACAGGGAAATCACTTTATCCTTGAGGGTAGAATTTACTGGCTGATTTAGATAACGGTTTTGATGGAAGAGTTGAGGACAGGCCTGGAGTAAGAACTTTTTTTCATGGTTTGTCTAATTTTTCTCCTATGGGGAGGGTGGTACTGAGATTAGTGGATCTCTGACTGAGGATCCCTGCCTGTTATTACTGGAAGAATGAGAAAGAGGAAGAGAGCAACAGTATTGCAATTAGACACAGCTAATTTCTGCTGAGGTAGTCCGGTGCATGCCTGTTGCTAGATCCCTTTATGCAAGGGGTGAGGAGTTAAGACTTGTATCCCTCTCTTTAGGTTCATAGACAGATTTTTCTCGGCCCAGTGCCTGTTTCTATCATGTTTGGCCGGGGTGGAGAGACCTGGAAGGAGACAACTCTCCAGCCTGACCTTGGGATTTAGGCCCCTAAATCCTTCTAAGGACTCCTAAGATAGGCACTGCTTGAGCCTATCTCTTTTTTAAAACCACAGTATTCCCAAAACAAACAGCCACTTTTTGCCCACTGACATTTATAATGAGTGGGTACTGTCTGTTGGAAAGCAATGAGCCATGGATTCGCAAATTTCCTTTTTTCAGAGAGATGTTAGAAAATGCTCTGCCAGTACTTGAGGCAGAGGGAGTAGACTTGTCCTCTGTGTATCCAGGGGGCAGAACTAGGAGAAATGGGTAAGAGGTGCCTGAATCCGGAGCTGGCTCCCTCATGAGGGTGTGGGTTCTCCTGAGTAGAAGACGGTGGCCCTCCTCAGGGGTGCTAACGGAAGGGATTCCTACACTAAGTGGGAGATTGCCCAAGATAAGCACCTGAGTTCTTCCTAGTGCTGAGATTTGCTTTGTTGGCTTTGTTTTAGATCAATCTGAGTAATCACATCTTTTTAACACCTGGAACAAGAAATTAATATGGCGTTGGGACCTATAATTTTAAAGACTCACCATGTGGAAGACCTGATTTTTATCTTTCTGTAGCCCCCCACCTCCCTTGGCACAATGCTGAGGACTAGCTGTGGACTCTCCAAATTCATGTTGGTCGATTGCTTTCTGTCTTCTTGTACCTTTGGGGGATCCTTCTTCTTAGAGGGTTAAATGGATCCCCTTAGCCTTCTCATCCTTTCTCATAGATCAGTCTCTCCTGCATCAATCACAATACTGCCACCAATCGTGCTGCTGCCTTTGTATTTAAAATCTGAAGCGTTACCTGAATGGAAGTAAAGGGGGGTACCACACAGATGGCTCTTCCCTCCGGCAGGCTATCCTGGCTTTGAACATCTGGGGTTGGACTGTGAGCACCACCAGGTGATACTTGCTTATCGCCTGCGTGCACGGTGCCACAGCGTGCGCTCTGGGACTCTGCACAGGATAGAGAAGCAGCTTGAGTACCTTCTCCTGAGTGTTCTCAAGAAGAGCCGTGGGGAAGTTTGCTCCATTATGCTAAGGTGGAGAGGAAGGGCAGGAAGGTCCCAGTGTAGCACAGAAAGGTCAGTGACTCTTAATTCAGATAAGAACACACCATTCTTCTCAGTAGTTAAGCATTCTTTCTTACATGCACGTACTGTATGAGACGCTTGTATAGGAATCGCGAACGACACAGTCCCAGCTGCTGTATAGGAGCTTGCACTCTGAAGTCAGGCATGTGGACAGGTACAGGGAGGAACCGGCACGAGACATTTAGCTTATTCTCCTCCCATGTGTTGGGAGGTCAGGCTGGCAGCAAGCCCTGTGACTTTAAGAAGTGGTTAATCCTGGGTACCAAAACCATGCCAGAACCTGGCCTCAGAGGTCCAAAATGGACCAGTGCCAGAAAAGCCACCTGTGTCACACCTGGGGCTCGCTGCCTGCCTCTCCCACAGCCCTCTGGAGGCTCATTCCTGTCTACACTGACACACTTTTTGTATCCATAGGGGCTTGTTTGGCTGGTGGCCCCACACACCCAGAATGCTGCTTCGGGATGAAGCTAGGCATGGAGCCAGATGCAACAGAAAACCTGAGAAAGGGTTCTCTTCCCTCTGAGGCTGGGAGGGCCGAATGAATGCTCATACCCACAAGGATTCAAAAGGGAGAGTCAAGTTGACATCATTAAAAAAAAAAATCCTGAAAAACACCCAAGATATTTGGGGAAAAGAATGATGCTCTGATTATTTCTATCTCAGGCACATTTGTCCTGGGTAGATACCAGGTCACATGTCCCTGAAAGCTGCCCAGAATTGATCAGCATAAAGACTATACGTATCTAAAGCTTGAAAATGTTAAGTGACTTTAAAATTCTTTAATGCAGATCCTTAGAAGCCAGAAACAGACCTAATGTGATAGGCTAATGCTGCACTGAATCCTTATTTCCCTGCCTTTGATCAGGGAGTAAGGCAAACTCCATTCTAGAAGGCTGTACATGGAGGCTGTCAAAGACTTATATCTAGCCTATTCTGAAGTGTGAGGCAAATGCTACTTTATATATAAATCCTGCACTTACTTTAGTAAGTATTCTTGGTTAGGGGTGTGGCATGGAGGAAGAGGATTATATAAGGCAGTTTAGGGGTAGAATGTAGATGCTCTTTTTATCTGCAAATTTGGGAGAGAAGAAGAAAAAGAATATGGCTTCCAAATGACTAATTCTCCTTCCTTACCCATTCCCTTCCTCTTTAACACTTTATAACTTACATACCTCAGTGTCTCCTCCCTGCACCAATCACATCAAAATCCATTAATCATGCACACACACACACACACACACACACACACACACACACACACACATTTAATTCTACAGCACCCCCATTTAATTGAACGTCAGTGAATTCTCTTCTTTTGGTGACTTATCAGTTGTTTTAGTATATGCCCAACCTGGGCAGTGGAAAAGATCATGTCATTGAAAGCAGGACTCCTAAAGATTTAATTGATAATTTTACCCTCACCTTCTTCTTTGCCTCCTCAAAGCCTATCTCAAGTCCTTCTCCTATTCTTACCCACTGTGGGTTTCTCTCTCATTTCCCATCTCATTTCCCTACATAACTTTAAAATTGAAGGAGGTGATTAAAGGCATAACATTTTAGATTACTTAAACCTCATTACAAATTTTTCTTAATAGGTCATTTGAAATCAATCACTAAGTCAGTGTACTAGGTTCTGTCCAGCACAAAAGAAGTAAAAGAAATAGTTCTCGCCCATTAGAAGCTTACAGTTCAGATGTAAGGGTAACCTAGCTGAAGGTTCAGTACCTAGAGGATATTAAGCACTCAAAAGACATATTAAATGAGTGCTCATTGTGTTACCCTGTTGATTACTAGGGCTGACTCATTTGGCTGACAGGATGGTGTTCCCCTGCTCCCTTACTTTTCCATGTGCTCCTAAAGCATGGAAGCATGGAAGATTGTTCACAGTGAACAATCTTTCCAATCAGAAAACCAGCCCTTCTTAGGTCATAGGGTTCCAAGGCACTGGATTCTACCCCTCCTCCCTTTCCAAGCTCCAGACAAACTTTCAAGGCTTATTTGTAGCAAATCTGTACTTGCATAATGTACCCAGCTTGTTATTTTCTTTGTGTGGACTGAGTGGAAGGGAACTTAGCAACAGGTTGTTCTCTTTCCATCAAACACTTGGATGGCTATGTGTCCCAATGTACTGGCAGCCATTGTACCCTGGGCCAGCAAGTGTTTGCCTGCCTGTCCCTCCAGTGTCTGCTCAGATCTGCCCTGCATTCAACCAGAATGGCCCCAGGAGCTCAAAAGCCATTCCTGTTTTATAGATAAAGGGAATAAAAGCAAATACGCTGGCCATTTCTCCTAGATTCTGTAGGTATTTCCCAGTAATTTAGGTACACATTACATCAGAGCCTCATAGCCACACATTTGGAAGAGTCCAAGTGACCACATACCATGTAAGCATGTAAAGAGATCAGTTAAAATTACCTTTACAAGGGTAAAAATAAGCTTATAGTTCTGGCTATCGTAGAATACTGGATTTTGAGAAGGATTAGCAAGTTAGCTATTAGTTAATTAATAGTTACTATCGAGAAATGCACACACCTGGAGACACAGAGAAGGCGGTTTGTGAGAAGAGCGGTTAAAAAAAGAAAATACTAAGCTGAGTTTGTGGACTTTGAAAACTAGACAGGGCGATTTTGGCATTTGTTTCAGAAATGGGAACGCAACTGGTGAAGATTTCTGTGGTCCTTGGGGCTGGTGGTGACATCAAAGCTTTCCCATTTCCAGGTAAACGCTAAACAGTTGCATGTTGGAACCATCAAAGTGTGACATATTGGGTTTTGGAGAGATCAGATGTAGCTAAGAGGGGAAACGAGAGGTAAAGATTTTAAGTTCTGACTAATGGCTTTCTGATCAGAAACTGCCATGTGGGGGAACATTCAGAAGAAACACCAGCCAGATTCAAATCTTGCTTCCTACTTCCCACCCCCCCATAACTATAAGCATTCCTAGCCTTCTGTATAAAAGAAGATATGGGGAAGGAATAAAATGGTCAAAAATATATCTTCCTAACATTTTGGGTACAACTGTACTAATCAGGGATGATTTGAACTGGAAGTAGTTGGGAGTTCTGAGTTGAGAGAAGGTGTAGAGTTTGGGGGGGGGCACGTGAAGGCTGTTTCAAGGGGGCTTCTGAAAAGGAAAAGGACTTTCACCCCAGCCAGATATAATCTTACCTGATGAGTACCCAGATGCACTGGTGTGGTGAGAAAGAATAGTTTTTCCTCCATGCCCTGGGATGTAGTGGGATGGTGCTTCTTCCTGACTGGAAGTAGAAAACATGGTGGGCAGCTCTGGCTTCATCTGTGAGGCCAAGTGTCAGGGTGAAGAGTAAAAAAACTCCAGTCAGTCATCAGATTTCTAGACATCAGTATTTTAGTCTTTGTGTGGATCCAGCTGCTTTCTTTGAATAATGTAAAGGGATGTTTGAATTCTGCCCAATTAATTCAGTAACTGATAAGAGTCTTAGTTAACTTATCTAACAACAACAGTGAGGACTTGTACCATACCAATGATAGTGAAAGAACTTACCTTTCTTTTGTGGATAGTGGAAGCATGCCTGATTCTGCCTCAGCATATGGAGAACTTGTTCAGTTGTATAGGCGCTTTGGACAAAGAATTTCATGTCTAACATCGCTTCCATACATCCTGCATGAGGTCTTTTGATACTGGTTCTCAGTCAGTGGGCTAGTTTTACCCATTCTAGCTCTGAGTTTAAGCTAGCCAAAGGGCCCAGCCTAGCCTTTCAAAGGTTATTTCCAGAAAGCCTCCTCCCTCCAGGGACTTCTGACATGAACAAACTGGAGAAGGTGCAGAGCTGGGATGGATTACCCAACTGGCTTAACCAAGATAAAGGAAGAATGCACCCTCGACTGGGGACTCCATTGGACTGATTTGAGTTGTTGACTATTGGTTGGGCTTGGTCTCCTTTGTGGTGGTTGAGATTATAGAATCTCCTCAATCTGACTACTGTACTAATTTCTGAATTCTACCAAATGTAGCATATGTGTGTGGTTGGCTTCAATAAATTTTTCATTTAAAAATGAAAACAAGCAACAGCAAGAGTTTGTAATGTAATGCCCAAATTCAATGATGGCCCTTGTTAGATAACCTCAGTTGAGACCAATGAATTCCATCCATTTTAATTTAAGGGCCTTGGTAATTTGTGGAGTACTCGGTTGAAACAAAAATAGGATTTACTAAATTTTCTGAGCCTTTACTTCCCTTTTACAGTGTTACCACATAATATCTTACACTAACATACACAGTTGTCACAATTGTCTCCATAAGGCATTAGAAAGAAATTCTCTTTATGTTCTTTGCAAATTTTAGCTACACATGTCCTGAGTCATGAAATTCAGGGGAAGTAAAAATTATTCCAGATCTAAGAGGCAACTGTTTTACAAATGCAAAACAATTTGGATAGATAAAATATCTGAAAACAATTAAAACCAAATCAACCTGTACTTTATCTGTGTGCTGAGATTTTAGGTCCAGTGGATCAGAATACAGGGAAAAAACTAATGAGAATCCCTCAATGGATCCTTCACCCACCAAACAAGATTTCTTCAGAAACCGACTTGCTCTTGCAAATGACCTTGACCAAGGAACAGCTGTGTAAAACATACTTAAAGTTGTATTGTCAAGTGGTAAGATGAGGGTAAAAAGCTTGTATATATCTGTGTAGGAATATATATATACATATATATATATAGATGTATAAGTCCCTGAGGAAAACTAATATAAATACTTACATATGAAGCTAAATCAACATACAAGGCATTGAAGAGATGAAGATTAGTCTGTGGTTGAGAGCTTGCTTTTTGAACTTCAGCACTTGGGAACAGGGAAACGAAGACTTTTCACAGCATTATAGAAACACAATAAATTTGGAGGAAAATAAATGTTTGTAAGAACAAAAACTTCCAACTTGAAGTCATTCCCCCCAGTATAAAATTGAGCGTGTAACATGGATGTGAATTTTATGCTTCCTAGGCATTTACCTTATTAATTCATCCCAATGTTCTTAGGCTAATATACACGATGTTAGGGGCCAGTTCTGTCTTGCTATATGTCTTCCCCAAAGCAATACCCAACATCCCTTAAGGCAAAGGATCAGTAAAGAGTTGTATTTTACGTGTTGCCAATCTGAGTTGTGGAGAATTTGTGCTTAAACCATGACATAGAAGGTTCAAGGGTTATAGACACACTGGTCTCTAAACGGGAAGAGAACCAGAAGAGTAGTATTTCTCTCTCTGTGGCTATGAGAATCAGTACAGGGAACAGTGATTTCTCTTGAGACTGGGAGGCCAAAGAAACATTTTCACTTGTGTGAGTTGTGCTGCAGATGAGAATAGTCTAGAGTCTATGTGTTATTGAGTTCTCAGGATTCAGAGACACATTAGTGATCCTGAGTGTCACATACACTTATAAGCAGATGCGTTGGGGGAAAAAAAAACACTTATTTAGCTATGTCCTCTTTTAAAAGACTTTCTTCAGTCTGGAAAGAAGGTGGCAACAACATCAGTGCTTTAATAGCACATGCACAGCAGTTGCTACAAAACACCGGAACAGGATGAAAATTTAGGGCTGGTAAGACCTTGTTCTGTTTTCCAGAAGTAAGCTGTTTAAAAAAAAAAAAAAA